AAGTCGTCTCAGTCAGCCTCGCCTCCAAGCCTGGTCGCCCTCGTGTGGTGAAAGCGTCGTGCAATGTCCGTCCCTTCGAACGTAGCAACAGCCGCGGGGGTCGCTGTACAGTCTCTTAGGTTATTGCAAAGGGGCAGAAAAGCACGCACAAGGTTTGCCTCACGCCGCCTTTATTTTTAAGCCACCTTCACCTGCCGGCGTCGTCCTCTCAACCCGACTCACTGGGTTACGAGAACATCAACCATTGGGAGACCAAGCCGTGTGGCTTAACATTGACTCAGGAAGGCGCCTGCTCCACTCAGAAATCAGCAGGTCCCATGGTGTAATGGTTAGCACTCTGGACTTTGAATCCAGCGATCCGAGTTCAAATCTCGGTGGGACCTCAGAGGACTTTTTTTTGTTTTGCCTAACTGGTGTGCTAGTAAAATGGAAAGCCGTCTTAAGAAGCAGAGGAGGGCTACCAAGGCGGGAAGGGGAGGGAGAGAGGGGGGGTTGCATTTTGCGCTCGCAAGTGACTGGCGCTTGTTACTGCGCATGCGCACGTCTGTTGGCGGTGACAGTGGGTAGAACTCGAGGAATCCGAAAGCAGCCGAGAGAGCGCGAGGGTTTGGAGCGCGAGGAGGGCACGGCGGAGGGGGAGAGGTGGGGAGGGGGCATCCGTTTAACGGTAGCACTGCTGGAGAAGGAGAAGGCTAGCTAGCCAGCAGCGAGGAAAGGAGCGGACCCTGCCTTTCCTTCCTCCCCCATCTGTTGTATCTGACGCGTGTCTGCCTTGTTCGTTTTTCTGCTCCTGAAAGGAGCGGACCCTGCCTCTCCTTCCTCCCCCATCTGGTGTATCTGGCGTGTGTCTGCCTTGTTCGTTTTTCTGCTCCTGGCTGGAAATTAATTTTAAAGACACTCCCCCTTCCCTTGTAAGGAAGGCGAGGCAGCCCAAGGTGCTTTGCTGCCTGAGGCAGCGCGGTGAGGAGCACCCCTTGCCCCTCTCTCAGGCAGGTTTTTGGGGGGCACAGAAGAGAGAGGATCCCACAAATATATCTTCCCCTGACAGTTTTTTTAAAGCTGAATGAAAAACAACGAATTAACGGACGAGCGATTTGCTGCCCTTGGAAGACTTTTGAAATCTGCCACCTCAGAGAGAGAATAAAATGGTCATACAAGGTCATAAAGGATCCACTCAGGTCTTTCCCCTAAGACGGTTTAAAGGGAACTATTAATTTGGGCGGCGGAGATAAAGGAGCGCGTTTTAGGGACATTATTGGGAATGTGGTCCCAGCCCCCTCCGTATTCCTAATAATCAGCCATTCAGATTCAAGTTTGCCTCATTTTTTTGGCAACCTCATTCTGCTTTTTCCCTTTTGTTCTAGACGAACAAAATTTGGAAATGTTGTTTTTTTGGATTTCAGCTGAATAACGCTGGCCAGATAATTCTGTAATAATAATAATAATAATAATAATAATAATAATAATAATAATAGCCAAACAAAACCCTACATGGGATGCATCTCCAAGCTCTGCTCAGAGGCACACAGAAAGCTGGAAGTGATGCTCAAATAATGTGGTGGAAGTGCACATCTCTGGCCAGTTGTGCAGAAAGAGGCATAGCTTGAGTTTGAGGACCTGGTTGCTTTGAGCTCCTGGCCAATACACCTCTCCCTTTTTGATGGGGGAACGGGTTAACTTACACCCATTAGATACTCTGCAGTTCCAAGCTCTGCTCAGAGGCACACAGAAAGCTGGAAGTGATGCTCAAATAATGTGGTGGAAGTGCACATCTCTGGCCAGTTGTGCAGAAAGAGGCATAGCTTGAGTTTGAGGACCTGGTTGCTTTGAGCTCCTGGCCAATACACCTCTCCCTTTTTGATGGGGGAACGGGTTAACTTACACCCATTAGATACTCTGCAGTTATGATAGTGCTTTCACTATCTGCATGCGCAGGTGTGTGTGTGTGATTATCAATGTGGTAGAAGGAACAGTGACATGTCACCTCTTCACCATGCAGGTTACTGCCTCTTATGGCTGAATGGATATGGCAACTGGTCTTTGGACAGGCTGCTATGAAGCAAAAGGTTGGGAGATGGTTTTTGTATATCATCACAGGTGGGACCTGGAGCCAAAGTACAACAATGCCTGATTCGTCACTCCACTTCTGCTGCTTCAATTTTCCAATACCCCTTTTCTCCATTAGTTAGCATTTTATGGTTAATGAGTACCAGTGGTATTGTGTAACAAGGGCTTGAGGAATAGGAATGATTATTTTTATTAGCAGAAATCATGGCATCATCATTTCACTCAGTAGTCTTTTCTCCCTCCAAGTTTAGCTCAGTTCTCTCAATTGCTGGGCATGCAAATGATAGATTTCTGTGGCAACCATATATTGTTGTGAGTTATCTATTTTTGTCATGCAAAATGTTCTGTGGTGGTTTGGTCTTGAATGTGCAATAAAGAGCTGTTAGTTTTACAAAATACTCTTGAGGGAGATAAAATGTGTTGCACTAGACACTGTTCCAAGTCCTCCATACAGAGCATGCTACCATAGTCTCTTGAGACTGAAGGATGCCTAATCTGATACTGATCAATACAGCTGCCTGCATTTTGTGGGTTCCTTGGGGTTGTAGCCATTGAGTCTGCCAGAATGAATGCCTACATTTTGAAACTATTACTTGGCTGTTGAATATACTTAATCTCATTGGCTGTTCTGGGAGTTTTCTAAGTTCCTTCTGTAAAGATTTTTGATACTTCTATAAACATTTAGTTTCCCGGCCGTTACTTCTCTCTTGCATGTTGGATGATGTTAGTTTGGCACCTGAGGCAGTTATCTGCACAGCTGGGCCATCAGAAATAGAAGGACCTATATATTTCTATGTTTTACTGCCAATGAAGAACACACCTGGCTCAAAATGCAGATGTATTTATTCACTTTTAAATAATAACAAATTTCATGGCACCTGCTGCAGTTTTCTTAAGTAATTCTGGGTTGCAGCAGGTGCTATGAAATCTGTTGTTATGAAAGGATGTCAAACCTTTGATTTGTAGTGCCAAAATCTGGCCACATGAGGACACTGTTTTCCAAAAAGCTTCACTGTAGGAGCATGACATAAATTTAATGATATATCCTGATTGTTAGAACTTCGCCCCATGGGAACATTTGTTGCCTATATGTATAGTGTGACAATCACTGAATAGTAAAGGAAGAGATGGAAATGTCTGGTCAAAGAAGGGAACAATAATAATGTTTAGCATTTGAACGGTCCATTTCAGTCTTATTCATATACATTAAGCTGGTAATCCTCTCAAGGATTTAACTCCATATTGCAGATAAGTGGCTGGGGATAAAAGATGGGAAGAATATGGATGAAAGAATCCAACCTAACCAGTGTGAACTAGTATTTAGACTTAGAGTGTAGAACGGAGTGTTGGAAGAGCTGGGTTCTAGATTTTCCTAAGTTAAGAAAGCTCCTTAATGACTTTGGGCTAGTAATTCTCTCTTAACCTGATGTATCTCCAGAATATAATTGCTGTCAAATATAGGTCCATCCCTACCATTAGGCAGGTTGAGGCAGCTACCTCAGGAAAGATTTTTGGGTGTCATGAAGGCCAACAAGCAGTCAGTTTCATCTGTATTTTTATGGCCAAGGACATGGCCCTGTGGAACTTCATTGCCTATTTGCAAAATCTAGATAGACTGTTTTGGGTACTATGCACCTTAACTTGGGGAGGGGTGCCATCTGTAAAATAGTCGGGAAATGCTTGATTTTTAAAGAATTCTTTGAAAACACTGAACAGCAAAATGTACAGGGTACAAAGGGAATTTAAATGTTTTGGAACAAATGCCCCCCATTTTTTCCCTGGGCAAATAATGGTACTGTGGTTGTTGTTCAGCTGGTCCTGTTAGGAGACACTGGGATTTCTTCCATGGGGTAACACTGGAATACATTGTGCCAGGAAAATATTCTGAGATGCAAGAATTATTATTTTTAATCAAGCTGTATTTTACGTCTCTTGTACCTTGCCGGGATTGTTCAGGTGAATCACAGTTGATTTTGCACACATATACGTTTATTTAGTCATGGTGTATTTTAAACTGACATACTTTGGGATCAAAAAATATCCCATGACATGTGGTACTTGAACTTAGTAAATGAGGGTTTGGTTACTTTTGAATAGATGAAATGAAAGTTCCAAACCACTAGCAGTGACCTCGTTGCATTGTGCGTTATCAGGAAATCCTCTGAGAAGAATCCAAAGGCCTAGAAACTCAAATCCCTTTAAGAGAGATTATTTATTCTGAAATTAGGTAACAAAGTGTGTAGCTTTGCTTAAGAAGCTCAGCTGTCTTGCAGAGGAAGAGCCTTCAACCTATCAAGGGGTTACTGATTTTTAAAAAATTATAATACTAAACGGATGGGCAGATTTAACTTTTAAGTAAAAATGTGTCTGTGTGGGAGAGGGGAAATCATTTTACTGGAGACTGGTCCAAGATAGTCTCCTACCTGAGGCAAAATCCAAAAATCTAACACTGGAGTGGCAAACAAATCTTCCTTTAGTACTCATGATGGTGTGACATCTCACACTGCAGCTGAAGGTAGCAAGCCAGCTTAGATGAGAAAATCAGGACACATGGCAAACATTTTTCTTTTCCAGCAGCTTTGCTACTGCCTTTCAGTGATGCCACACAAGGAGATTGCCTCACTCTACCTATTGAGAGGACTGGTCCTGTGAGCTGCTCTAATGACACAAACCCAAACTGTGGGGACCATACCTATCGTTTCACTGGGTATTGGGAATGTTTTTTGTAGAAAGTGTCTAGAGTGGCCACTTCACCAAAAAGGAGATCAGTAATTTGCAAAACAAACAAACAAACAAATTGGACATGCTAATTGGATATACACAAAGATGCAAAATTAGAAATGTGTTTTATAATTTAAACAGAGCTACAATGCATCCTACCGGAGTAAGGACCATTGAATTAATTTTTATATAAAAGAAACAGCTAGGGGGAATAGGATACTGAAGAGCAGCCAGCTAACTGGGTAACATGGTGAGACTATGAATTCAGGTAAAAGACAACACCACTGACAATATGTGATTTCCTTCTGCATCTCAACAGCAAACCACAGTGCTGTGTTGTCCAGTGGAACTGAAAGCCACCCACCCACCAACTGGACCTGGTGGTGCCTCCTTCCCCATACTTCCCACACACTGTTGGTACCAGTAAGGATGAGAGAAAGGTGGCACAGGAGGCAGATGGAGCTAAGGCCTGATGGGAAGGACTCCATTGAAATCCCCTGAAGTTGCAGCAAGGGCTCTTGATGCTTCCTATTGTGCCTGGACTCTGAGAACCAGGCACTAAAAATAGTTCCTTGCTGCACGATGCCACTTGACTCTTCCTTTTCCAGAAGCAGTGGCATATGGGGAAGGTGTGGGCAACAGAGGCACTGTCAGGTGCGGTATACCGCTGGGTGCCTTCCAATCAAGACTGGCTAGGCAGCATGGCCCAGCAGCTTGTGTTGGGAAAAGTTAGCAGTGTATGCTCATTCCTTTCTCCACATCCGGTACCTGGTGAGACAAAAGGCAAAAAGGAGGGTTGTATGGTGCAGTTCTTGAACACTATCCTTCCTATCTGAGGTGCTCTTCTGGAGGCCCACCCGCCGCTCAAGTGCTTTTGCAAAGGTCCACTAGTATGAAGTGGGCATCAGAGATCAAATTCAAGGGAATGCACCCTAAATGGTCAACTCAGCCTTTTCCTTTATAACAGTGTTTCCCAACTTTGGGCAACTCAGATATTCTTGGACTGTGACTCCCAGAAGCTTTCACCACTAGCTGTGCTGGTCAGGGAACTACTGCCCTTTAAGGTGGATGTAAATTATTTATTTAGCTAATCTACATCTAAGGTGAAATAATAGTTTAGCTATAATAGAGCCTTGTGGCGCAGTGGTTAAACTTCTGTACTGCAGTCAAAACCGTGCTCATGACGCAGCGTTCAATCCCAGGTAGCTGGCTCAAGGTTGACCTCCTTCAGAGGTTGGTGAAATGAGTGCCCAGCTTGCGGGGGTGGCAGTAATATGTAGTCTGCATAATTAAGTTGTATACTGCCCAGAGAGTGCTTTAAGTGCTATGGGGCAGTATAGAAGCAGCACAATTTACTTTCTTTTTTTACAGACCCTGATATTATTCCTCTCAGAATCCCACAGCTTAAGTACACTTCTCCAACTGTTTGACTTGAGCTTCAAACGAATCATATGAATCAACAAAGTCGAAACAAGCCATTTCCAACATAGCACACACTCTTTTTAATTTAAAGCAATGGTACTTGAATTTGCACTTCACAATACAATTGAAAAAGCCGGCTTCAAAACTGCACAATAATTATCTGCTGCTTAAAGACAATGTGCGTTGCTTTTTTTAAAAAACAAAGCAACACAATATTCATCCTTGATAATAATTATGGTCGCCATTCAGGCCTTAGATCTAAGAACACCCTCTGTGCTGCTTTGTACCATACTACATGCCCGTAGGGTTTAAAACAGCCCCCCTCCCATTTTTCATCCCACTGGAAGCAAGGAGATAAGAGTAACCATTGATTAAATGTTTGGCTTGATACAGGTTCTGAGAGCTGAAGCTAGGTGGGTTCTAGAAATTCATGAGGTAAAAAGCTGCTGAGTTGGATTTGGAACAGGACTGGAGAGAGAGAAAATGATTGTACATCCTTCCACCTGCAACTCTTTTCCAAACCATGCTGTCCTGATATGGTTTTTTTCCCCCGGCAAAACAAGCTGAGCTTTTCTTACAAACAGATGTGTGTATTATCCAGCACTAAATATTAGATTTTGAAATTTTTGATATGCGCCTTTTAAAAAAATGGAATATCTTACCCAGTGCTAAGTCCTTGCCTGCTTCTTTTCTATTCAAGCTGGTATCTACTTAAAAAGAAAGAAAGCCAAGAAATAATATCGCAAACAAACGCCAAGCCTATTTTTTTTTTAAAGCCAGCCATTAAAATGAGGTGAAGGTTCTTGGGGACTGCAGTGTATTTACAAAATAAAAACTGGACTTCAACAGCTGAGGATGCTGTTCTCTGAAGTCCCCCCCCCCCAAAAAAAATTCTTTTGTTCTGTAGGAGGGTTACACAAAAACAAGAGTCCCAGTTTGTTTATTCATTCCCCCTGCCTAAGATCATTTGTACTCATACTAAATGCATAAATAAAACCTATACAGTCCTTGTATTGTACAAAGAGGGCCACAAAGATCTTCACAGGGTTAGGCCAGGGTCAGCTTATTATACAGCCTCCCTTCTCCTTGAATGGGTTCTTGTCTTCTGGGACACCTTTTAAGAGAGGATCTTCAGCAGCCATGGATTCTATATAATCCTTGAGTTCTTTAGCTGTCTTGGAGACCTGTTGGAGAGGAAGAAGAAGTGATGCTCTAAGAACTCCTGAAGATATTTGTCTGTTCATTCTGAAAGCTGAAGCAAGTTCGAATAGCACTACTCTCTTTAGAGTCACGCTAGACCATACAATTAGTATTTCATTAGAAGTGGAACTCACCTGAGAGGAAGAATACATCCTATTTATCCTAGCATAAGCCTGGCTCACTCTGCATTTCATTATTTGTGAATAGTCACAAGGTAAACATTGGCTTCATTTGCAATTCTCATTGCATGGGACTTTGAAATTACAGTATTCTGTGTCTGGAGGGAAAGCACTAATAGCAGAGAATACATATTGTTCTTTTTATATAATTTGACCCCAAAATGACTTAACAAGGGGCTACCGTAGGTTGAAAAACTATCCCAACAAGATAGCAGTCTCTGAAATAAAGAATTCCTCTCACAAAACTATCATTCATTTCATTTGGACAGTGCAGGAAAACCTTCCCATCAGTTGTCCTCCAAAAGCTTTTTTTCCCCCTGTATTCCACTCTGCCGCCAACTAACAGTTCTTCAAGAAGCTGCCTTGCCTTTTCCTCACCATAGTAGGTCATATTACGAGTTTTCTGTACACTCAGAATCAGTGAGCCCAATGATTGAGTAAACCTGCCTGAATCTTGGGGCCAAACAGTACATTACAAGTAACATGTCAGTCTAGTTTAAATTAAGTTAGTACTGTATTTCAAAGGCATGCTTCCAGCAGATTTTCATGCCTGAGTTGTGAGTGAAGCCCATGTTTATGTCCAGAAGACCAATCAGAAAACAAAGCAAACTAATTTGCAAGCTATGGGGGACGTGTAGATATCTTGCTGTAACAATCAGCCACTTTGAGCAGTTATGGAATTGGTTATTCCAATTATGTTTGGTATAGGATTTCAATACTTGCATTGTAGGATTGATTAGTTTTCTTCAATTAATGAAAGCTTGGAACATTCATTTTCAGCTTTGAGGTTTTTTGTAGCAACATGTGTAATCCCAAATATATGGTGGTATGGAGGGAGTTGAATTCTCCACATGCTACCCATTTTTTATTTTTGTCTTTTCTATATCTTGTACTCTGTGTTCAGAATGAGAACAGCTTGTGCAGGAGCTGTCTGATTGAAACAGCCTGCAAATCTTGAGCTAGTAAAGACTTAAGCACAAGATATTCTCCTGTGCAAGGCACATTTTAATGTACAGCAGTTCCTCTCATACAGTTCCCTTGCATTTCAGGAGGCTCTGTGTACAAACATCCAAGTGGGTTATATCTTTTATGTTTCACTCTGTCCATCGTACCAGGCAGTTTGTTCTCTTAGAATTCAAAAGATTTGTGCACGCTGGTAACAACTGACTGGCCAGGTAAAAGTCAGCACTTTATGATTTTATTCCAGACAGTGTAGAAATAATTACCATTTGTCTTTCGAGTTTCGCTTCCTTTTTCAGTTGGTCTACTTCCATCTTTAAGAGTTCTTTTTCAGTCATATCTTGGGCCATCTTGCCCTGCAATCCAAACACAAATCCAGTTTAGGAGTCTACACACAGCTTAAAAGCATCTAAATCAAACGACTAATGAACAAATAATGAACTTCTGTGACTCTTGAAATGAGTCACAAAACTTGGGAAGCCCAATAAAAGTGTTCCTCCTGGGGCTAATAGCGAGAATAGGGGGTGATTTGAATGAGGGTGGTGGTGGTGGTTTTGCATGCAGTGGTGAAGGTCCTTCCTTCTGCCATAGTCCTGTTGTTCCTCACCTGCAGCTGTGCAAAGAGACTGGAAAGGCTATGAGCAACAAAAGAAGCCCCTCTGGTAATACAGTACTAGCAACTGAAAAGAGAGCAGGTCAGAGGCTTCTATGAACAGAAGTGAACAAGCAATATGTACAAAGGAGGAAAAGTAAGAAAAGATAGAAGGAGGAGGCAAACTGTTGGATAGCTCTGACTTCTAGAGGTTGGAAGTTCAATTCCCTACTGTGCCTTCTTGAAAGGGGCTGGACTTGATTGATGATCCATAGGATCACTTACACTCCAGAAGGACTCCCTTCTCCAGTATGAGCCTGCCTTTTCCACTAAGGTCTTCAGGAGAAGTCATCTTGTGAGCCCTAAATTATGTCTAGGTGGAATCAAGAAGAAAGCCTTTTTGATGGCTCTGGAGTGCCTGCACCTAAGAGTCCACTTTATCCCATCCTTGATGGTATCTGTCTTCTATTGCACAGCTATGGAGAAGGAAACTTTTTTCTCATAATGCTAAAACCCAAAGTAAGACACTGAAGCTAAATGATATTTGGGATAGATATTAGGGAGCAGTTCTTAACAGACAGAAAGCAACAGTCGCATCATAGAACTCAGTTATTAGAAGATGTTGTGATGGTTTCCAGCTTGAGTGGCTTTAAATGAGGATTGGACGAGGGGATGGAACCACTAGTCAGGACGGCTGCATGTGTTCCTTCTAGTCCTAGAGCAGTGGCTTCCAACCTTGGGTCCCCATATATTCTTATTCTTGGGTTAAAATTCCCAGAAGCCTTCACCACTAGGCCAAGAGTTCTGGGAGTTGTAGTCGAAGAACATATGGGGACTCAAGGCTGGGAACCACTGTCCTAGAGGCAGTGTACCTCTGAATATCAGCTGCTAGAAAACATAAATGGTGGTGCATTGTTTCTGTCATGTCCTGTTGATAGGTCCTTCTAAGAAACTATTGAAGATCTTACTGCAGAAGTAAGCAGTCCTTCAGAAAGCTGAGAAGGCAGTCCAAAGCAAGTTGAATTTCATAGGCCTTCCATCTCATCTAGCAGGAATCTTTTTGTTTCTATGTTCCATCTTAATGGGAAGATCACATTGTCTTTCTTTTTGATGGTTTTAGTCAAGAGTACTGTACAGTGTGTAGGGAACGTGGTGGTGCTGCGGGCTAAACCAGAGAAGCCTGTGCTGTAGGATCAGAAGACCAGCAGTCGTAAGATCGAATCCACGCGACGAAGTGAGTGCCCGTCGCTTGTCCCAGCTCCCGCCAACCTAGCGGTTCGAAAGCATGCAAATGCAAGTAGATAATTAGGGACCAGCTAGGTGGGAAGGTAACAGCTTTCCGCGTCTAAGTCGCACTGGCCATGTGACCACAGAAGATTGTCTTCGAACAAAAAACCCTGGCTCTATGGCTTGGAAACGGGGATGAGCACCGCCCCCTAGAGTCGAGCACGACTGGACAAAAATTGTCAAGGGGAACCTTTACCTTTACCTTACTGTACAGTGTATTTATAAGCTGTTTTCCAAGACAAAGCTCGATTTTCATAAATGTTGTGTGCATCATGTGCCACTACAATGTAGTGTGTTTATCTGCATATACTAAAATAATAACTACCAGATTCTGGTGATGGGGCTCCGCTTGTCTCCCACCCAGCAGATACTTATGGCTTTAGTGAAGTCTATTTAATTAGACTTATGGGCTTGTCTTTTAATTTTACCAACTCTTATTTTGCTCCTTTGCTTCTTGTTTTAAAGAAATTTTTAAGCATTTTAATAGCACTTGAAGTGCTGAAATATTTTCATTACTTTATTTATTTGTGTGTGTGTGTGTTTGTTTGTTTGTTTGTTTGTTCGTTCGCTCGTTCGCTCGTTAACATTTAACGAACATTTAAGAAAGGTGATGTAGAAATATACATACATATGAACCTTTATTGGCATTAAAAGTACAGAGTGCTTTAGACAAGGGGACAAAGTGTGAGGAATAATAAAACCATGACCAATTTAAAATTAGGAAAGGAGGAGCGACCGTGGGCTATACCCGGGAGATACCTCTCTGATTTGAATCGCAGTTTGTAAAAAACAAGCAATGTAGGCAGTGACATGATTAGTTGTCCCCTGGACTAAAAAGCGGACTTTGACATTATCAGAGCGGCCTCGATAGCCGGAGAGCAATGGATCTAAAAATCTTGCTCGGAGGCTATTATAAAAGGGGCAATCCAAAAGAACATGGGAAACTGTTTCAATGGCATCTTGGCTGCAGGGGCAGATGTAGAAATACTGTATGTTAAATGAATATCAAGCGAACAAATACACACATGTGTGTTCAGTATTATTCAAGACATCTATAGGACCCCAAGTGGCTTAAGTAGTCTTAGAGGCACATGGACACCTCCCTTAGAGGCACATGGACACCCCAAGTGGCTTAAGTAGTCTTAGAGGCACATGGACACCAGCCAAAGGCACTTTGCTACCTGAGGTGAAGCAGAAGATGACCCCACCGCCACATTCCGTGTACAAAAGCTGACTGGGTGGGCAGCTGAACCTTACTTCAACACTGTCACTGTCAGTGGGAAAAGATCCCATACAACACCAAAGAGTAGCTAGTTTACAGGACACGGGACAAGATGTATGGAGGACACCAGCCCATTCTTCAAGAGAAAAGAAAGGCCAAGGGTCTCAGTGCTACAATGCCCCCCTCCCCAGCAACTGCTGCTTAATATCTCACTCTGCCTAACATTAGGACTGTCTCTTTCTTAGTGAAAGTGTAATTGAAATCTTATTGAAATTAATTTATTTTGTGTTCTGACTGAGACGTTTTGGTGTTAGTGAAGCAAAAGCTTGACATACTTCTGAAAAAAATTAAATGTGACACTGCTTTCACAGTAACTAAGGCTGGCAAGACCAATTTCATAATCAGTTTGATGTGCAGTTATGCAAGAATAAGACACATAGTTTGTTCTGTCTCTCTTGCATTTTGATGTATGACTTATAGTTTATGACAAAGTTAACAAAAGACAGTTGCACAGTAACAATACTGCTGTTAATGAAAGACTTTAGATATGTAGGTACGTAAATTGCTAAAGTGTTCACAAGGACTTTTATGAAAGAAAATTATCCTAGAACACTGGCTGACATACTAAGGGAATTGTGGTTCCACAGACATTTATCAGAGACTCCGGAGGGAGATCAGGAGCCATCAATTTGCCCATCCAGAGTTAGTATCTGGACAGCAGGCTGAGAAGCATACAGATCACCTAGTCACCATCTTTACCACTTAAGATAGATGCATGGAAATTACTTAGCCTATAAAAACAATTTGCAGAGTTGAGATATATGTATATATTAGTACATCTAATATTATGCAAATCTATGTCCTGTTTTGTTCCGTTAGTGTTTGTTTTGTTTAATTTTTGTATGTGTAATCTACAAATAACCCCTTTGATGACTGCTTCAGGGCAGTGTTATGTAACTGAGTGATGCTCTGAAGTCGTATATGTTAATATTATGTGCTATTGAGTTGGTTACAACTTATGATGACCTTATGAATGGATAGATGGTCCTATTGTTAATAGCATTCCTCCTGTCTAGAAAACTCTGGGCTATGGCTTCCTTTATCTAGTCATACCATCTCACATTCAATCATCTTTTCCTGCTGCTATCCAGTTTTCTGAGCATTATTGTCTTTTCCAGTAAGTGTCTTCTCGTGATGAGCACAAAATATGATACCCTCATTTTTATCATTTTAGCTTCTTGTGAGAGTTGTCACTTGCTTTGATCTAGCACCCACTTATTGGTCTTTCTGACAGTCCACAGGATCTGTAAAATTATCTTCCAAAATCACATTTAAAATGAGTTGATTACTCTCCTGTCTCCAATGAAGTATCCTTCCTCTTGAGGACATTTTCTACTTCCTTCATAGCTGTCCTTCAGACTATAAGTAGTGGCGAACAAAATGACCCTCCGAAACAGAGACGGGCCACTTGTTGCCCTCCCTATGTTATTGGACTGCCCCTTACCATTGGCTGTGCTGGCCAGGGCTGATGGGATTTGTATTCCAGCAACATCAGGGCCCTCACAAATCCCCCTCCCTGTTTTAAAATAAATAACTCTAGCCAAATGTTGGGCTTATTTTCAGTGTGTATGAAATAATGGTTAGGACTGATAGCCCTAACCAGCAAGTATGCTCTTTACCACAACACCCAGCACTCTCCGAAACACAGAAGGGTGGTGTCCACTTTGAAGAGGCTTCTAGCAAAGTGACTTTGAGTGTACAAGTTCAGTTGGTGGCCGCAGCAGCACTCAGTAATTGAGTGTCTCATGGGCCCCATGTTGCCATGTCCACCCTGTGCTAGTCCTGTGCACATATATATGCAGAACCTTTCAGAGCACATTTGCAGAATGTGACTTTCTGAGTTGTGGGATGTCAGTTTCTTGACCTCTTGTGCAACAGTACCCCACCCCAATTGTATCTTTAGATCAATGTCATAGTTCAGTATGTCCAATTTTAGAAAGAATTTATTGTGTTACTCATGAGTTCTCAGCTGCCAGGTTGCTGTTATTGTTGTAATTGTGCTGATCACACAACTAATTCACCACGCTCCATTGTTAACAGAGTAGACTGTCACCAGCCAGAAAAATATGGATAAATAATATCTTGTTCTTTCTAGTGGCAATTCTAACAGTGCATCCCAGAAATACAAAACTGCAAAAGACAAAAAGCAAAGCTTCCCTTGCCACTTGGGGTTAAGAAGATAATGACATAAAACCAGTGGCAATAACAACAATGATACTTGCTGGTGACCAGCTGATGCCACAAGTGTGAAGCTGAGAGAAACAGCTAGGAGAAATGGGAGCTATGAAGCATAGCATGGAGGCAGGCTAGGGATTCACAACAATAGGAGGGCCTTTTCCCTGAGAAAGGAACAGCACAATCCACCACTTCTAGTACCCTGCCTCCTCAGACAGCCCTCCCACCTTGCCTAACAGTAGGGCTATCACTTCTGTAAGAAATAGATGACGGAAGTGGGTATGTTCATGAAAATGAGAGTGTATGATAGCAGGCTTCAAAGACCTGAAGGAACATCTTGTAGAAGAGGGCAATGTTTAGAAGGGCTGTCACTCAGTGGTAGAGAAGATGCTTTGAATTCCAAAGGTCCCTGGTTCAACCCCTCAAGCTTTTCTGGACAGAACAGGGAAAAGTCATTCCTCAAATCCTGGAAAACCATTGTTGCCAATTAGAGCTGGCAATACCAACCTAAATAGAAAACTACAATGCGGCTCAGTATGAGGTAGTTTCCTCTGCTCCAAGACTGTGTTCTCTGGTGCCATTGGGGGTTGGAGTAGGTCTAATGGAGTTCAATTGCAAGATAATAAATGGTTGAATATTAGGAGAAATAAGTTGATGGTAAGGGCAGTTGGACAGAAGAGCTGTCACTGAGCGCTTCTGCCCAACTAAAGAGCCATTTGTTGGGTAAGTGCTTGCCTTGGATGTCCTGTCTCAATCAAACAGATGAGATGGCCTAGTATCTCCAGAATGATGGTTCTATCCTTATATGAATTAAGAGGTAAGATGACATGTAGACAAAGGACTCAAGAACAATACAAAAGCCCCTGAAAACATGACAGAAGTGCTAACATTAGTGCAGCTTGCTGTGTATCTGTATGAATAAACAATGACTGTTAAACAAACTTATGGTTCACACCGATCTGTCCTGAAGGAGGCAAGTGGCTCTTTCTCCACTGCTACCTTTTTGAATATGCTTTCCTTTCCTTAGGCTTGACACAAATAATAGAGTTCTTGTTTTTCTTGCTCACATCTGTATTGAGACTGTATTGAGACATTCCCTACCCTTGATTAATATATTCAGTGCAAAAGTTGGAAAAATGGTTTTGGATTACAATTGCCAAAATTGCCTGGCCAACATGGCCAGTAGCTATGCCTGATGGGGGATTCGGAATGTTGTAATAAAAAAAAGTAGGGGAGTGGCTACACAGTGATCTTACCCAATTTTTCTCTGCTGACAGCAGATAAAAATGACCTAATTTTAAGTGATCACATGACGTGAAGCTAATCTTGAGTAAGACTGCCCTTTTCCAGTTTCCATTTGTCTCCATTTATACCTTTTTGGTTTATCCGCAAGGGCTACTTTTTGGGAGGGATGCAAGTGGGAGTGCTCCATTTTAGTTTGCAGTAATTGATCATGTGATTGTGGAGCTTGCTACAAAGTCGAAGCATGTGCAAACGAAAGCTGACCCAACTGTATACCTTCTTTGTGTAGGCAAATCCAAACGTTCCCAAGCTCTGCTTTTATGTTACATCGTAAAGGGTTCCCACTTTACAATGAATATTTTGACTTGACTATTGTGTTAAAATATTGTGCTAGAGAAATTGTTGCCAAACGATAGGCAAAATCCTGTTGGTATATTTTTGTGCAGCCATGCCTAGATCAGGCACCAGGAACATTTAAGCTCATGGAAAGCTTCCTATGCCCTATTTTAGGTTCCAAGGCTCCCTAGGATAGTAGTTTTGCTTGTTTGTGTGCTTGTTTTACTATTAAATGCTTTACTCTGCCTATCCCAAGGCTCCTAAAGATGTCACCAGGGCAAAAGAGAGACCTAGAGACCATCAGGATCTAAAATGGGGGAATACAAAGCTTTCCATAAGCTTAAACTGGAGATTTCCATAACCGGAACCAGTTACACTGGCATAAAGTTACACAACAAGATTTTGCCCAATGTGTGTATTTGTGTGCGCGCTAATTTGTGTATATCATTATCATCATCTTAGAACTGCAGAGTGGAAGGAATCCTGTGGATCACTGTCACAGATTTCAGTCCCTGTCACCCTGCCCACGGTGGGAAGGTAATGGTGTTCCATATCTAGTTGCGCTGGCCACATGACCACGGAAACTGTCTATGGGCAAAACACAGCCCTACGGCTTGGAGATGGGGATGAGCACCGCGCCCTAGAGTCGGACATGACTGGGCTAAATGTCAAGGAGAACCTTTGCCTTTACCTTTACCCTTGTCAAGGAGGCAGAGAGGAGAATCAGACTCCCAATCTCTGGCTCCACAGCCAGCTACTGAACCCACTGAGCTACCCAGCAGTTCTCTGTGATCATACCTCTGTTGCCCAACTTTCAGCCTTCTTCAAAATGGTCTTTCCCTGTCCTGAGTGTGTCTGCTGAAAAAAACTGTCCCTGCACATAGACTGCAACTGTTGGATTTGGGGTATAAGACTGTAATCCTAAATCCTTCTAAGCAGGGATGTGGCAATCTGTCACTCCTGTTTTTGTTTATTAAAATCCTATTGTCGTTCTTCTCCCATCACCATTTTGTATTGGATTGCTATTTTTCCTTCTTCATACATGGAAAATCATGCAGATTTGCAAAAGGTGTGTTCTTCTCCCAAATATGCATTTTTCATATGTATTTTCCACAACGTATACACTTCTGTTCATTTTCTCCATTGACTAAGTTGTATTTAGATCAGTTTTTCAAGTACTGTATATGCATTTTTACTTGTGCACACATTTCAAATATATTTCTAGTTTTTCCACACAAATGGATTACAAGACTTGGAAAGGTACACATTTCTTAGGCATGTTGTGCTTTATCCTGTTAATTTTAGGAGGTGCAAAACTCATATTTTCATAAAAAATGCAAACCCAGTGAATTTGTTTTTCCTCTTCTACTTCCCAGCACCTTTGACATACATGAGACTTTCTGCCCAGGAATGAGGCACAAAGAAATTTATTACAAGGTTAAGTGCCATTTTACACCATAAACAATCCCGTTCTGTGCAAGGAAGTACACTTAGGGTATAGTTACGCTATTGGATTGGGGTTTTTAAAGCCAGTTTAGAGTCATGTAGTGGGCACATGGTTTTTGATCAATATGTGCATCCTTTTGGGACAACTTTTAACCCATTTTCAAGCTATGTTGTACATTAGTCATGGGCTTTTAAAATGATTGCATTTGAAACTTTTGTCCTGCACCCACGCACCCTTGCACTGGCATGTGTGCTCAACTATGTGGGGTTTGTCAAATAATAGATGCCAGGATCATGGATTTTAGGCTGCAGGTAAACATGTAGTCTGATCTGTTTTTTTTTCCTATTTGTAATACTGAACTAGTGCTATCCCAATTTGAAAGAAATAAAAAATATTAAAAATAGCACCACCAGCAGCAGCAAGTGATTGTGAGAGACAGCTGGCATGAGAGCAGGCAGGTGCCACAAACTCATTGCATTTGAGGTTCTGTCTTGCGCCCGCCCACCCTTGTTCTACCTGCCTCTCACCACTGCCAGTATTATTTTTAATATTTGTTTTGTTTTTAATTTAAAAAAAAAACTAGGATAGCAGGAGTTTGGTATTACAGATAGAAAAAAAAAAGTAACAGAGTGGACTGCAAGATTTCCCTGCAGTTTGAAACCCATAGTCCTGGCATCCATTACTTGACAGACCCCCACAGACACAATTTACTCCTACCCAGGTGAGCACACATGCCAAAACAATTCCAAATAAATCATATCCACAATCAGGTTAAAATAATCAATGCCCTTGAGGCTGTTTAAAATACCTCACTTTAAGAACAAAAAAACATGCTTCTCAGCTTTAAAAAAAAGCACACTCGGGTGTACATTGTGTAAACAGAGATTTTTTAAAATCTATTTCAAGTGTGCTAAACCTGATACAAACCCAGGAGAGTTTCAACATGCAACAGCACCCTTACCTCTTCTGATGTGTTTTCCCCTCCAAAGCTCCACGGTGGTTTAGAGAGTTATCTACCTAAGCTGGTGAGAAGATGTCTTCTGTGGTGTTGAAGCCTCTCTGCTTGAAGATGTCTTTGGCATTAGGCGGTACTTGGTTTGGAACTGATTGTCTTCTGTCCTTAATCTGATAATAGACTCAGTGAGTTAAACTGGTCAGGTGTTGAGAATTAACCTCAAAGCCCAGGGTAAGGGTAAGTGTAAGCAGGGAGGGAGAGAGAAGGGAGACAACAGATGGCACAGTTGAAAAAGTAGATCAAGAGACCTTTCAGGACAGCAGACAAACGCACCATTCAAATGCAAAAAATTAGACCTCTAAGGACTTCAAGTCAAGGTCTCAACTCTGTCCCAAAGCATCCCACAGTTGCAAAGCATACGTATGCTGCTATTCCATTCTTTGGCCACTTTACTAGGCACATAACCTTCAGACCAGAGTTGACCTGTTAATAGCCAGCAGATGACATTGCAAAGTCAATGTTTTGTCTATATAGCCCTAATGTAGCCCTATGACCACTGTCACAAATGTTTCTTGGGCGTCAAGGATCTAAAGCCAATTGTTTGTTCCAACTAGAGTAAACCCATTAATTGAATGAGGCCTGTTAAGTCAACACTAAGGTAAGTCACATTGATCAAAGGTCTAATCTACTGTAGTTGAAATTGAGGCTGTCCTACTTTCAGCAAATCATGAAAAGGCAAGAATCTTTGGGAAAAGACAATAATTCTGGGAAAGGTGAAGGGCAGCAGGAAAAAAAGAAGGCCAAAGACAAGATGGATTGACTTCCTAAAGGAACCCGCAGGCTTGACTTTGAAAGAGCTGATCAAGGTTGTTTAGGACAGGACACTTTGGAAATTGCTCATTCATATGGGTGCCATAAGTAGGAAGTGACATGATGGCACAGAACAACAACAGCAGTATAGTTGGGACTAAATGTTTGATTGAGACCAATGTCCTTATGGAGAAAAGGAGGCCTCTGAGACAAGACAAAGCTCCTTTCCTACATGAATAAACAGCCATAGTCTGTCCCTGGACATCTAGGGTTAGAAGGCATAGCTCTATGTCTTGGAGGGTATAGGGGAAAAACTTCTGCGTAGGCACAAGCCCCATTACCCCTTCTTTCCAGATAAATTATAGATAGCAGTTATTACACTCACCAAGGTCAAATGCAAGTTTTATTTGTGTGGAAAGTCTTTCAGTAGGAGTTAGCCTCCTTAAATGATTTAGTGGCTTATCATGGGAGAATTGGATGGATGTCAAGAGGGCAGTATGCATTCTACGTGTCCTGGTTTGACCTCAGTGTCTCTTCTGCATGTCAACTGCATGTCAACATGAACATAGCAGTTATTACACTCACCAAGGTCAAATGCAAGTTTTATTTGTGTGGAAAGTCTTTCAGTAGGAGTTAGCCTCCTTAAATGATTTAGTGGCTTATCATGGGAGAATTGGATGGATGTCAAGAGGGCAGTATGCATTCTACGTGTCCTGGTTTGACCTCAGTGTCTCTTCTGCATGTCAACTGCATGTCAACATGAACAGGACAGTGTGCTCTCTCCTTAAAGGAATTAATTAACATTGGTAGTATGTTATCTTTTACTGAAAATAAATCCTTCTTGGGACATTGATTTCTTATTTAATGATATTGGGAGATTCATTAAGAAGCCTATGTAGCTAAATGCAGTGTGTTCTATGGCTGCAGTAGCTTTTATAGCCTGTTAGACCTTTGGCCAAGGTCCAGGGATATATTTCTGTGTTTAACACCAACAGAATAGGAACTTTATTCCTTCTTCTTCAGTCCTCTATTGGACCAAAATAACTGATACAGCAAGTGTCCCAGTTCCTATGGAGAAGAAATTTATGTTGCAAGGGGATATTAGAGGGGGAGAGGACCACCAATTCTGATGGAAGCAGCAGGATCCAGTGAATGTTTACAGCTAGCTTCCAGTCCTGGAGAGGCTCTTTATTTGATAATGTCTTTCTTTAGCTATGATCTACTGCACTGGGGCACCCTAAGCTTTTGACCCAAAGTCCTGCACAGATGGCACTACTGCCCTACAATGACCTTAAAAGCATTAGTTTGTAGACCTTCCAACTGGATCTTGTTAAAACTGCGACTGTAAAGAAGACAATACTTACTGAAAAGGTCACTTATTAAATACCCACAGGAAAAAATCTGCTTGCCAAAGTCTCTTAATCCCTGCAATTTAGAACCACTGATTTAGAACCACCGTCATGGCATTCAATAAATTCTGGATGATTCTGAAAGAGTGAAACAGCACATTACTGATGGAATGGCATGAAGACAATACAAAAAAAAACAAAAACCAATGCCATCACAACACCCAAATTATTTTTGCATTTTAAAAAAGCAACAAACTAGCATTTTATTTACAATCATCTCCACAAATAGGAATAACCTTAATGTACTGTATGGCATTGATTGATATCCTGTTGCTTAGTATAGTGAGTCACAACTAGAGTGGGCTCATTGAATCAGTGGGGATTTGGTGAGTCAACTCCTCTGTAAGTTCAAGTGATTCAAATGGGCCTACTCTGGGTTACTTTAACAGAGTAAATTGCACTTAGAGTAGACCCATCGGAATCACCAGAACTTACAAAGGAATTGACTCACCACTGATTCAGTGGTTCTACTCTAGTGTGACTTACTATGCTAAGCAACAGGATTTCAGTCATTGAATTATTTCTTCAGTTAGAACTCAAGAAATACATTTAATGTACTGTATTTAAAAAATAAACAAGGCAGATAGCCCGCTTCAAGCATGTGAATGTTAAAGCATTTCTAAAAAAGGTTGAACTTGCTGATTTTAATGCCCAGGCTGATCTGTGGAGGAGGAAGTACATTTTCAGACTGCAGTTCACTGAAGACTTAATCTCCCCCTACTCTTACTATGATGGCCAATTTGGCTGTCACTTTTTTTAAGCCAGTGTGATACTTATATTTGACCTGTGTTGGAGACCTGAATACTAACATTTTGCTCCCTGCTTTTCTGCTCTAAGCCCGTCAACAGGTCTGTGTGCTTAGCCTAAGGCAATGAGTAGATCTACAAGGATCCAAGCCAGGCTTTTGTCCACAGGGGAAGGTCTGTAAATTGATGCCTTTGATGCTGATGCTACATCATGTGGAATGTACAGACTCCTCTGTTTCCTGGCGGTTTGGTTCCAAGAGCATCACAACTGCCTAGCTCAATTTTTGGAGCTTGACTTCACAATATTATACAATGTTTGCCCCATGAACCTAAAACCTTGCCTTGTGTGTAATGTTTTAATGGCCCAGCCTAGAACCTTATTTTAGATATTTGGGATCAAAGTCATGTAGGGTTTTATTTGTTAACATCAAGATTCTGGATTGGGCTCAGAGGCCTGAGAATCAGATGGGAGCAAAGTTGTTGGTCTCTATTAGATTAGAATGCAGGGTACAATTTGTTTGTGTGAAGGCAGGAACCTGAATAAGAACTGGGAAACTGTGATTGGTTTGATGCTTGACATTTGTTAGCTCTAGCTTGATTGTAGTTGAATGAGAAGCAAAGACTGAATAGCTGGAAGGCAGTGGGTGTATTTGAGACTTTGCTCCTGCATGTGTGTGTGTGTGTGTGTGTGTGTGTGTGTGTGTGTGTGTGGAGAGAGAGAGAGAGAGAGAGATATATACCAGGTGTTAGATCATTTCCCGATGATGAATGTGTTCCTGCCAATGGAGTGCAGCCCTGACTGGAACAGCATACTCTCCTTACCTTCCAGGCTTGAGAATCAGAATGATGTGCTAGGACAGTGGTTCAAAACCTCGGGTAACCCAGGTGTTCTTGGATTGTAATTCTCATAAGACTTCACCGTCAGTTGTGCTGGTTGGGGTTTCTGGGAACTGCAGTGCAAGAATCCCTGGGTTAGCCAAGGCTGAGAACCATTGTGCTAGGACATGAGATTTAAATCTCCATTAGGAACTGCTCTGAGTTTTGTGACAAAAAATAGAAGAGACAATGGTTGTTCATGTGCCAAATTTGGCAGACCAGTTCTTAGTGAGACCTGTACTGTTGAAATGTGGAGAAGGATAATATGGGAATAGAACTTATGAATAAAATTGCAAGTTATTTCTGGGAATATCATCATCATCATCATCATCATCATGTGCCATCAAGTAAATTCTAGCTTATGGCGATCATTTTCTAGATAGATTGTACTCAGAAGTGGCTTCCCATTCCCTTCTTCTGGGGGTGCTCTGGGACTACACAGCTTGCCCATGGCCACACAGGCTGGCTCCACTCGCAGGAGGCACAGTGGGGAATCGAACTGCCAACCTCTACCTAAGCCACTGAGCTATCCAGCCAGCTATTTATGGGGAAGGTGGAAATAATTCATGAGAGGTCTTTCTATGATCCCAAAGTGATCTATAAAACATGCTGCTTATATATTGCTCCATAGCACTTAAAGCACTCTCTGGGTGGTTTACAATTTAAATATGCAGGGTACATACTGCTTCCCCAGCCAGCTGGGTACACAGTTTACTGAACTTGGAAGGATGAAAGGTTGAGTGAACCTGGAGCCAGCTTCCTGGGATTGAATATGGGCCATGAGCAGAATTTTGACTGCAGTACTGCAGTTTAATCACTGTGCCACAAGGCTCCCCCATATTTGTCCAGTATGGAAATCAAATAGTCCAGATGTGTTACCAACAGTGGAGATCCAAACAATGAACTAAAGTGATCAAAGACATCTGTTTATCATCATAACACATGCTTTTTTTCACCTATACACTTTGCATTTAGCATACTTTGCTGTATGATTGATCATTGGAAGTTAAACATGGGCTTAATTTGCAATTCTGCTAAACCAGTATATCTGATTAAGTCTTGTAAAAACAGGCAAGAAGATTAATCACAGAGACTATGTATTCCCTTAACATCTGGTTTGATCCTGAACTTTCTTCACCTCCCATAGTAGAGAGATGGGAGGTTTTGGAGGGGATAGGCCTTCCAGGTTTACCTCAGACCTCTCCCACAGTCTATATAATATAATCCAAAGAAAAGTAACTTTTGAACAAAGTCTGGCTGTCTACAAAGCTAGCCTAGGCATCTACCTGGCATACCGAGCAGTAAAAGAGAACTCTTTATTTATTTGTTTGTTTGTTTGTTTATTTATTTGTTCGATTTATAGCCCGCCCATCTGGTATATTCTTTAGTTCACACCATCTCTGTGATCAGTGATGCATCGTTCTAAAAATACTGCTTTCTTCCCTTGACAGTTCCTCCCCCCTCAACACTTCCTCAATTAATTCTTATGACTTTTGTTTTCATAGTGCAAACGAAGGGTTTCCACATCTTGTATTCAGAATGGGATTGTTCCCACAACCCCAGGGATGCCGATTGAGGGGTGGAGTGTCATGTAGGAATTCTCGTGGACATTGTTGTGGGTGGAGGACAATAATAAATCTCAGGGAGTTGGCTGCCTGGACAAGGGCAAGGGGTGGGAACAGCCCTGCCCCAGGAGTCAACACAAGTATAAAAGAGTTCCCAGCCAACCCATGCTTGCACGGGAGCATTGAAGAGAGCGCTGAGGTTCAACCGCGTCTGCTGCTGAGGCGCCCCATGTGTTCTGAGGAAGGAAGGAAGCAGGAGAGCCAGAGCAGCGACAGCATGACTGAGTTGCAACAGCTGATACAGAATGCCATCCCTTGCGCAAGAGAGGTCCTGCGGGACAACTACAGCAACTTGCTCAAAGTGGCTGATTACTGTGAGAGCAACTATCTGCAGGTGAGTTGCAGCAGGATAGAAATCAGGGCACAGCCATCAAGGCAGAGCTAGAGAGGCAATAGCCTCAAGCAACAGATGTTGAGTAAGCCAATTACACTTCCTTGACTCTTGCTCTTGAGCTTCCTGGGCTCAGAAGAACGGTGGGCATCATAGGTCCTATCTTGACCTCCTAAACAGGTTTGCTGCCCCCAGGTGTGGTGAAGGGTGATATCCTGCAACCGGGCTGAATTAGGATTCAACTTGCAGTCCATTCAGCTTCTGTCTGTATTAAGGGAGGGGAAGGTCGTGGAACCACTTTGTCCTTTGCCCCAAACAGCAAATGACTTGGTCCAAAAGACTACAATAGAATCATACTAGGCAGATGGAAATCTGAGATGTGTCTGAATGTTAATGTGAGATCCTAGTCTCTCTGGTTGCCAACAGATGTGCCCAGCTTGGACAGACTGCAGTGGAGTAATCTTCAGTTTTGCATGGGATGCTCTCTCTCTTTCTTTCTCTCTCTACCTGTGTGCAGGCATGTTTGTGCATACCCTCCATTTACCCGGGGAGACAGGCATTTCAGGATGCCTCACTCTCCATCTTTCCCTGCACAAACTGACGTTGTGCCCAGAGCTTGGAAAAGTTACATTTTGAGCTACAGTTTCTGGAGTCTGCGAATCTGAGTCTTGAAACATTTGTTTGAAATGCTGGTTGTATCCCTGGCAAATCTGGGATAATGTATTGAGTTCAGTTCACACAGGGGCATTATCCCTTTGTCCTTCCTTGAAAATCAGGAGGCTGGTCAATCCAGCCCTCTGCCCAAAGAGCAGGACTGGGTCTTTTTAAAAAAAGATTCTCCATTTGCATGAATGCCCAAAAAACTCATTAGAAACATTCAAATCAAAAACATGTTCTACTCCCTGCTTACATCCTTATTGGCAGCATTTCCTCTGTGAGAGTCAGTGGTTTTTAATCTTCCATTCAGTGATGACTCATTTATGAATTTTAGTTAAATAAAACAGTTATCTGTCCACATCTGCTGCTTCCTCAAAGTTGTGCTGCCAGATTGGGTTATTCTCAAACACATTTTTCTTCTTCTGGAATCACAAGAATCCTCCAATATTTTTAAAGCATTTCCAACAGTTACAACTTGCTTATGGTGTTAGAATTATTTATGAACCAATGTGTAGCTAGTTTCTAATTTCTGCCATGTTTTCTAAGTGCCCATCAATTTGCTTTCCATTTGTATGGTGTTTCCTCCTGCCTCCCAATGGCATTTGGGTTCAACTACAGGCTAATGAAACAACAATGTTAATAGCAATAATCCTGGACAAAACCACTCATTAGGTTCCATGCAACTGAGACCACTCTTGTATCACACACAGAAAGCAGATGAACAACAAAATGTGCTGTCTTGTATGACGCTCATCCGCCCACCTGCTGCTAGACAGGGTGGACAATACTGAACTACATGGGCTAAAGATATACGTTGATGTAAGACTGATTCCTATGTTCATACATATATTCCCATGCTCAAATCTAGGGCTAATGTCTGGAAAACATACATGAATAAAATCCACAAATTCCACCCAACCCATTAATTTCAATATTAGTAAAATCATGCCTCCATGCCTTCTGAAAGCAGAAGATAGAGAAGTGTTGCAAACCATAAAGAGCCAATCCAAGAATTGGAAGAAGTTACTTTTTCCAATTGGTGATGCTGGCTAGGTGGGGGAGTCCCCAAAGTGACTTTTCTAAGCTCTGCTCCTGAGTTTGAAACAAAGCGTTAGTTATATACTAGGCAGCACTAGTCTGTGGAACTCCTTGCCACATGATGTGGTGATGGGATCTGGCCTAGATGCCTTTAAAAGGGGATTGAACAGATTTCTGGAGGAAAATTCCATGACAGGTTAAAAGCCATAATGGGGATGTATAATTTCTAGGCTTAAAAGGAAGGTACCTCAAAATGCCAGATGCAGGGGAAGGTATCAAAATATTGGAGCAAGGTGCACCTTTACTAGGATCGTAAGCTGCTACAGGCATTAAGCTACTTGTGCTTAGTCTTTGCTGGCTTCTGTAATAAACTAAACTCTCCTTTGGGGAGCCTCAAATCTTTGGAGTATTGTTTATAAGGTCAAAGGGTAAGACACAGCAACAAGAACATTCCCTAATTCTATTTTTAGAAGAGGCTGCTTCTTTGGTTCTTCTCTTTTTTTACTGATGCTGGATGTTTATTTCTCAGCAGGAACAGAAGACTATCCAGCAATAGCATCCTGTTAAAATTAAACAGATTTATTTCAGTTAAAAGTGGGCGAGAGCATTAATATGCAATAAGTGTAGTCCTTTTCCCCCCACTTCAGCTGTGCTCTCTTGTAGGGCCATTACAGGAGACCTGTGCATGCTTCTTGTGTAGCTATCTGTTTCTTCCCCAGGACCCCAGTCTCCAACTTTTATGAGAGCAGAGATTATGCCTTTGTTTTATATTGACCTTGCTTAATATATCGCATGATTTACAATATTTGAGGCTTGTGACCAGAGGAGCATGGATACCCCCATCCCAAAATATTGGAGCGAGGTGCACCTTTACTAGGATCGTAAGCTGCTACAGGCATTAAGCTACTTGTACTTAGTCTTTGCTGGCTTCTGTAATAAACTAAACTCTCCTTTGGGGAGCCTCAAATCTTTGGAGTATTGTTTATAAGGTCAAAGGGTAAGACACAGCAACAAGAACATTCCCTAATTCTGAGTGTGTAAACAGAACTGGGAACAGGTTGTTGGGTTTTTCTTGGAGTACATTTCCCTAAATCCCTGAGTAGAGATTCTGGAATTTGCTGTCAAGGAAGCAAATGTTCAAAGCTCTGAGAGTAAACCATAAATTCTTCATCAGCTACACAATGTCACAAAGAACGGACAGAAACATACTGGTTAAATTTTGTTTCCTGTAGCTTAGTATGGGGAAAAAAGTCACATGTTACACCTGAAGAAAATCCACCTTAGTTCCAGCTTCTGATTCTCTGTGTTTTTGCACAGTTTTCACATCTCCTCCTCCTTGATATTTTAAAGGTAGAAGACAAGCGGAAAGCCCTGGAGGCAACTATGGCTTTCACTGCTCAGTCATTAGCCAGCGTGGCCTATCAGATCAGAAACCTGGCTGGCGACATCCTCAAAACACTGGACCTCCAGGCCTCTGAAATCCGAAAGGTGGAAGCCAGCGTCTGCTCCATTGCACAGGTAAGGCAGGAGAGCAACACACACACACACACATGGGAAGGCAGTGTGAAAGGTGTGGAAGAGGGATGGAGCTGCATTTGAAATACCACCCTGATCCAGAACCAGGTAATGGTTACAAACTTGATGACAAGTGCCACAAATCCCCATGTTATTCTGCTCGGCAGAGTGGATGACCTTCAAGCTGCACATGGTCGTGGGGCATGTTTGTGGAGGCCCCCAAACATCCCAGTCCCCCATGAAAAAAGTAAAGAAACAGGTACTGTATATGTGCTTTTTAAAAGAATTCCTGGTTCTGCCGCTGGAGGCCTGGTTGTTTTTACATGGAGCCGAGGAGTCCCCCCCCCCAAAAAAAAACCTCTACCCTCAAAACCAAACAAGTGACTCCCTGGGCAGTATTTACATTTTAAAAAACATCTGGGAAAAGAACAATCTGTAGGCGAAGCCCAGCTACTGCAGAGACTGGGGGCAAAAATTTGATCTCTGTGAGGATATCCCCGAAGTAATTATCATCATCGTAGAACTGCAGAGTTAGAAGGGACTCTATGGATCATCATCCAGCTCCTGTCAAGAAGGCACATTGGGGAATTCACCTCACAACTTCTGGCTCTGCAGCCAGATACCAAGTTGTCCAGCAGTCTGAATCCTTATACATTCTTTTCCTAGAGACTGGGGAAAATCAGTTTTATTGGGAAGGACCACAGCTCAAGAGTAGGTCTCCCCCCCACCCCGGTGTCTCTTGATTATTGCCAAAGTGACAAAACTGACATATCCTCAGACACGAAGTCCCTTGGAAGTTGAGGATTCTGGAAACTGTAACCTTGAAAATAATAATAATAATTTATGGTTCTTTCCATGCCTTCAGGCCACTGCTAAAGCCCAGAATTTATCCTTGGACTTTACATTCTAGTGTATTCGCTGAAGGGAATCCCTTCCCTCTCCTTTCCTCTTGTACTGGAATGTAGGGAGGCGCACACAATGTTCTGAGATATCAAGTCTCTTTTCCTGTAAACTGGAAAGAGACTGGACAGCTGCCTGTCTGACGCTTTTCCTATTTCCTTGAGCATAATAACCTAAGAAAACAACATAATGAATCAGGTACATCCATGGAATACTTTCATCACCCTTGCCCTTTCACCGATTATATCTCTGTTCAGTATGACTGAACATTTGTACAATCTACATTTAGTTCAGTTTCATTTATGATCCTCATCATCTTGTGGGATTTCTGGATCCAAACAGATAGATACATTGAACATAACACACCAGACAGAATATTAATAGAACAAAGAAATATCTGGATCATTGATATTCCAGGGGATGCCAGAGTCAAAAATAAAGAATTGGAAAAACTAACAAAGTACAGAGACCTGGCAATTGAAACATCTTGCTTGTGGATGAAACACACTTCAGTGGCCTCCATATTCATTGGGGCTTTGGAAACAATATCAAGAAATTTCACACAGTAGTATAAGCAGTTGCAGATCTCAGAAATCACACCCT